TGGGAATCTACAGACCAGTCAGTCTTCCTTCTATGCCTCGGAAGATCATGGAGCAGATTCTGCTGGAAACTGTGCTGAGGCACATGAAAAACAAAGAGGTGATTGGTAACAGCCAACATAGCTTTACAAAGGGGAAATCGTGTCTGACAAACTTTGTGACCTTCTGTGATGGGGCTACAGCGTTGGTGGATGGGATAGAACACCAGACGTCATCTACCTGGACTTATGCAAAACATTTGACACTGTCTCCAAAGTGGAGACATGGACTTGATGGATGGACCATTCAGTGGATAGTGAAATGACTGGATGGCTGGATGCAAAGAGTTGTGGTCAATGGCTCATTGTCCATGTGCTGACCATGATGAGGAATGTCCCTCAGGGGTCACTACTGGGGCCGATACTGTTCAACATCTTTGTTGGCAACATCGACAGTGGTATCGAATGCAAATTGGATGACTGCATCAAGGTATGTGGTACAGTCAACACGCTGGAGGGAAGGGATGCCATCCACAGGGACCTTGACAGGCAAACCACATGAAGTTCAACATAGCAAAGTGCAAGGTCCTACACCTGGGTCATGGCAATCCCAGGTACACCTGCAGGCTGGATGGAGAAGTGACTGAGAGCAGTTCTGCAGAGAGACTTGGGGGCGGTGGTTGATGACAAACTCAGCATGAGCTGGCAGCATTCACTTGCAGCCCAGAAAACCAACCACGTCCTGGGCTGCATCAAAAGGAGCATAGTCAGAAGGTAGAGGGAAGTGATTCTCCCCCTCTGCCTCATGACATGCCATCTGGAATACTGCAAATTGTTCTGGTAAGCCCCCAATATTAGAGAAGAGAAGATTGTGGGAAGACCTCATAGCCATCTTCAGTATCCGAAGGGGGCCTACCGGGAAGCCAAGAAGGGACTCTGCATTAGGAACTGGAGCGATCGGACAGGGAGTAATGGGTACAATTGAAAGGGGGAGAAATTAGGTTAGATATTAGGAGGAAATTTCTTACTGTGAGGGTGGTGAGACACCAGAAGAGATTGCTCAAGGAGGTTTTGAATGCTCTGATCCTGTCAGTGTTTGAAGCCAGGTTGCAGAAGGCTTTGAGCAACCCAGTCTAGTGGGAGGTGTCCCTGCCCATGGCAAGGCGGGTGGGGACTAAATGATCTTAAAAGTCCATTCCAACCCCGTAACATTTTATGATTCTATGAGATTCTGTGACTAAAAACTACAGGACAAAAGCTGAATATTTCAAAGACCATGGGATTGCAGAGATCTTGGTATAGCACAATGTTAGCTTGTGCTCCCCTTGCTTAGTTGTGAGATGGAGGAATAGAAGCATTTCTGAGCCCCTGGGCGACACAACACCAGGCTCAGCACTGCAATAGCTGCTTAGCCTTCCTGACCAACACATTCACATCGCTTGTTGTGAAGAGCAGTGCTTGAATCATGTGCAAGCTATGCTGATGAGCAAACAGAAGCGACCTTTGTCCGTTGTTTTCACTTTCCACTTTCATTTCTCTACGTTCTTTATTAGTTTCAGTTTAATTGAGATTGGGGTTTTTTTCTTGGTTTTTCACCAGAGTGCCCCAATGGCATTGTTAATTTTGTGGAATTAAATTGTTTAATTCTGTGGAATGAAAGCAGGGAGAGACATATCCCTGAATGGTCATTAAGAGAACCAGTTGTTAATCGGTAGCTTTTCACTTCTTGTTTCCACATATGCTAACATTTACTTTTTTTTTTAAAATAAAATTACTTGACAAAGCCTTTGTATATGAGGAATAAACCATTGTGAGGAATCTTTCCTGCATAAATAAGGTAGCTGTAGTTTAGTTGACTCTAGTTTAATCATCTCTGAGGATGTGAACCTCCATGGCAATTACTGATTAAGTTACTGTGAAGCAAGGCTACTTTGCTCTTGGATGAGAGTATCTACAGGAGTGATTAATGTGCTTTAACACTGATGTCACTCCTATAGTTGCTTTGTCCTAACTTTTCTAAGTATATTAGACATGGCCTAAATTTAAGGTCTTAGTATTTTTGAGTGACTAATATAATCAAAGGAAAGGAAATTCCAGTGCCCATGTGGGAACTTAGATTTCAAATATATTTGAGTGTATTTGAAAATATGGTTTGGCCCTGGAAACACTTGAGGTATATCACTGGAATTCTGGCACTGTATATCTTTTATTTTCTTTCTTTAGTATCGTTATGAATTTCATGGCCATAACAAGAAATCAGATCTCTTTTCTGTTCTTACTCCTTGTGCTGATTTTGCCACCTCCTGATAAAGGCCTTCTGTGTCCAAAAACCTGAGCAGAACATAACAGAGATAAAAAAGTCTATTACATCATAAGGGTGATTTGACTTCACATCACAAATCAAGGTGCTTTTAGATGTTATACAATAAAGAGTAAGGGTTGGCACTGCCCACTAATACTGGTAGTATTTACTACTTCTCCTATTCTCCTTTCTTAATATTTTGGGTAACTTGGGACTGAATGGGCTGGATTTGGTTTAGTTGTATGGGTCAGCATGTGCTAGGTCAATGCTTTGTGGAATGCTTTCTTTTGGTTGAATGTTACCCTGCATAGTTTTGCCAAGTTCTCTTATTTTCTGAAGTTTGCCAGTAAAAGTGCCCTCTGAGAAAAAGTGTGTGGCTTTTTCTCCTTTGTGCTCTCTCTTAAGGTGTTAGAAGAACCCAGGGCTCTTCTAAAGCTTCACTGGGCTAATTTTTGGAACCTTGTACATTTTTAGAGGAAAACTGTGGCGATCTTTTAGGTTGAGACTTGGGGTCTTACAGGGGGTCACCCTCCTGTGGACTGCAACCCCTGAGAGCAGACTGTGGAAGCAGTAGGCTTCCAGTCCCCAGTTGCACTTTGGGTATGCAAAGCCCCTGCTCCTCAACTGGCTGTTTCCTACCATCCCTTCTGCAGCATCAGATTTGGTCATTTGTGTTTCCGTCCACTTTCAAAGGAAATGCCTCAGCTGCTACAGTTGTAACATTTTCGCTGTTGTCTTTTTCAACTGTGTGAATTCTGATGTGAATTTAGGTCATGAGAAAAAGGACCGTAAAGGAAACTGTGTGAAAGACATTGGTGCACATTTAAGTTCATTTGAAAATTTTCAAGGAATTTAGCAGGATTGTCTGATACTAACTTGTGAATTTCCAGAAAGACCAGCCTAAGGCTGTCAAACAACAAGGATGTCAACACAGAATTAAGAGAAAAATTGGATTTTCTTGGGCAAATATTCAGAGTACTTTGTTTGTGTCGTTGAACTGTTAAGTTAATGCCTTTTACTTTACCCTTCACCTATCTGGTTAACTTCCATTATAACAGAGGCAGGAATCAGTAAAATTACCTAAATGCTACTGACTGTTTTATTTTAAGATGACTTTTTGTTATGTGTAAACAGCATAGAAATGGAATAGTTATTTTTTCCTTGAACTGGGGCCATCTTGAGCAGTGCTCTCAAAATTCACGCTCCAAGGAATGGATCATGCTGCCTCAAAGATTAACATGACAACATAGAGGCTTTGCTTGCAGACCAAAGCCACTGAACTTTGGATGAGTTGGTTTTGTGATGTCATGTGCTACATAGTGTGCTGTGGTGGACAAGAGATTTTAACAGCTGGTTAAATGGGATTATAGAAGCAGGGTCTGAGTCAGGAATGCCCTTTTTGTAGCTTACTAGGGGAGCTGAGACTTGTTTATGGAAAATGGAAAACAGTAGACTTATTAGGCCTGCTTTTCTAATGTTGCTATTTTAACTAAAGAGTGAAGGTTTGCTGAGGTGAAGGAGAGTACATAATGCTTAATTCAACTTACAGTTTGTAAGCTAAGTTTTACACTATGTCAAGTGTATACCAAAGTCCTGCATCGTGGGACTGTTTATTAACATTTGCATCAATTGTTTGACATGTCTAGTTTGGGTGTTGGAGATAAATGCAGTGTGTTCCTGCAGTTGGCATTGCACCTCTGCCAACAGAAGGAGGAATCTAAGGAATTGAAAGGATCATGGCACCATTCTCTCTCAAGCATCTGGATTTACACGAGAATTTTTCCTCTCTCAATCTGGTACCCATGCTTCTTTCAGCTATCTCTCTTGATCAACAACTGATAGGCAGAGATTGTTAAAGCAGATTAAGCTGTTGGACCATGAAACCTTGCTAACACTGATGAAAGCTGGACATTTACCTGAGTCAGTCAGCACAGTATAGAGAATACTGGCTCCTCACAGGGAACTACTGTAGGACCACATCATGGAGCTACTGCACATAAGTTATTAAGTCCTGTTGTTCAATATTTAGTAAACCTCATGCAAGGTTTATCTGTTTGACTGTGGAACTCTAGCAAAACGGTCTTTGAAACCAGTCGAGCTGAGGAGATGCCAGCTGCAAAGAGGAGAAACTGTTCCCCGTGCTCCTGGAGAACCTGTTCCCCGTGCTCCTGGAGAACCTGTTCCCCGTGCTCCTGGAGAACCTGTTCCCCGGGCTCCTGGAGAACCTGTTCCCCGGGCTCCTGGAGAACCTGTTCCCCGGGCTCCTGGAGAAACTGTTCCCCGTGCTCCTGGAGAAACTGTTCCCCGTGCTCCTGGAGAAACTGTTCCCCGTGCTCCTGGAGAAACTGTTCCCCGTGCTCCTGGAGAACCTGTTCCCCGTGCTCCTGGAGAAAGTGTTCCCCGTGCTCCTGGAGAAAGTGTTCCCCGTGCTCCTGGAGTGCTCCCCGGGGAGCTTACGAATGAGGTGCTTTGCAGTATCTACACCAGATGGATGTGTAGGCATTGAAAGTGCCCAAGGGTTCTCAACAACAGTTGACAGGACCAGACCAATACCAGTTTGTCTGAATCTTTGCCGTATTTTGTTCCAACTAGCACTTTACTGGTAGCATTTCAGGGATTATTGGAGTTTGTGCTTAGGGTCACATTCGTGCTATAGAAGAGTAGAAAGAGAATGTGAAGATATCTTCTGTACTGATTTTTCTATCTTTTTCTTTCTTTACAGCATTTTGTTTGCAGACATTGTGGGGTTTACTAGTTTGGCATCACAGTGTACTGCTCAAGAGCTAGTGAAGCTGCTGAATGAGCTTTTTGGAAAATTTGATGAATTAGCTACGGTAAGTACAAATTCTTTATTTCAATTTAATTTTTATTTCCTTCTGAAAAATTATGAATGAGTTACGTATGTTAGAAATATGTAACAGACTGATTTAACCCTGTGTATCATGAATTTCTAAAGCTTCCATTTTTTATTGATGTTCTGGAAAGAAAACAGTCTATTTTAACTGTTTAGGAAAGAAACATGCTATTTTAAAACATACTCTTCTTTCCCTTCCAAGCAGTCCATCTATGTTCTTTATTAATTTTGTTTGCATCAAAACAGAGAAAATATTTCAATATTTACATTTCTGTCCTTCTTGGATAAAAGCCCAGAATAATGGAAAATATGAATATTGGCAGTTTGGCATAAAACTATTTTCTGTGATAGTAGGAAGCTAGAGAGTAAAATTTGTTCTTCACAGAGGGCACTCCTTGCCACAGAAATGACAGTTGCTTTTCAGAGGCTATTGTAGGCAAAATGGGATCCATAGCATAACTGATGCTTATGTTTTGGTTGCTGCACTTACATTGTGCTAGATTCCCCAAGGAAGGGAAAATGAGAGAAATGTTCCTTGCCTATAACTCCAAGCAACCTAATTTGACAAGAACCATTTGACAAAAAAAATGAGAGGAATAGATGTGCCAGAAAGTCATACATCTTGTTTCAAATTACATTTAACAAGACGCTGGAAGTGTGTTTGTCCCTTGAAAAAAGCAGAACTTCATCAAATCTATCTTGCTTGCCAGCCATGTCCATAGAGCCTTCATTGCTGAGGAGTGTCACTTCCACGTAAATTATGCTCCTCCACTATCTAGCTATTTTGTTTTCAGACTCTGTGCAGCAGCGTAGAGGACATATTTTTTTAGGCCCTCCACATAAATGGCATCCAAATTTTTTCAGTCCAAACTCACTTCTCCTTGATGCAGTCTTCCACGGGAGAGATCCAAAGCACATGGACATTTTACATATATATCTTCCTCTTGATAAACAGCTCCCAATACCCCAAGGAGAAAGAAATCTGATTCACAAGATGCCAGGGTTGAGGAAGACCTGTTCTTAGTTAAATGGATTATCATTTGATCGAGTGCTATGTCCTGATTTGCACTAGGTATTCAAGTCATAACAAAAAGAAACTGTATGTTCCCTTTTCCCAAGGAAAGCAGAAGATTAACTTAGATGCTGAATAGAGATGCAATGGAAGTATGGGGGGTTTTGGTATGAATTTGTAACACAGTCAGAAGCCTTTGCGTAATCAATTAATTACTGGAACTACTGGCAGTGTCTCAGAGAGAGCACAGGTCCCCAGCCCAGAGTGCTTCATACATGAATACCTTGGAAGTGAAATGGACTTCCATGTGGACAGTCATTGGTGAGAGCTTAAATGGCTTAAGAAGTTCAGATAGTCTCCTTACTTTATTTCATTTTAATTTCCTAAGTTAATTTCATCCTTCAAACGTCAACCAGACATCTGACAAGCTCCGTTAAAACTTATAATGCTGTCATCCGTGGAGTCTTCATAGGCATGAAACACGTGGCAGCATAATAACGTGGAGGTGCTGTGACACAGCAGAGGAGCTAGAAAGCCTTAGATTTCCTGTTCAGCTTCCAAGGATTCTTTTTTTCAAGTTTTAAAATAGATCCCATTGTTTCTTTCAGCTATTTGAGGAAGATTTGCTATTTAGTTGTACGTCTGGCTCAGGTTGTGCTGTACTGAGGTGTGATTAAGGACAGAATGTACAAGCTTTCCTTAGCGCCTTGTGATGTGATTGAGCGAGACTTGTAATTGTGTTTCCTGCAGTCAGAGCAATGTGCTGAGAAGTGTAATTTTTCAGAAGAATTCTGATCTTCTGGTTAAAGCAGCTTCTAGATAATCATTATTAGGTCAAAACAGAGAACTGAGCTGATTTTTATAACTGTGCTGTGCTTTAGTATTCAGAATGATTAAGGAGGAAACTGTAGGGTCTTAAAAGAGAAGTGTAACAGTGATAAATATGCTCGCTGTGACTTAATGAAGTGCAATCTATGAGTGTGCAAGCTGTGTGCTGCTACTTCTTGGGAAGCAAAGTCAGTTGGAAGGGGCAGTTTTTGACAACCCTTGTTAAAACAATTCCCTGTCTTAAAAAGGTAATGCTTAAAAGGAATGCCTGTAACCACTGTGGGAAGTGCAGTAAGTGTAAGGTAGCATATGTTGGCTGGGAGCTTCATTTAGAGTGTTGGCACACTGACATGTTGTTGAAATAGTGAGTCTTTGTTTTTTGACAGGATAGTTCTGCTAAAGTTTGTCCTTCTGACATTTAGAAGCTGTTTCATACTTTTTATCGTTAGGTATTTCTCTCTTTCTGTATGCTGTCCTTTTGGGCTTTTTTTTTCTTTGGTCAGGCATATAGTTGTGCTGTCTTTGAAATGATGCCTATTTTTTTTTTAAAACACAATAGCTGCAGATACAGTTACAGCTTATGAAAGGTAGTTCTGAAGGCAAACCTTAGTTTTCAATATATTGTCATTCAATTCCTTTCAAAGCATCCTTGTGCGTTCTGTTAATAGAGAGGGGAAAAGAAATCCTGATCTTACTCTCTGCTAGAACTGTGTTGTACTTTTATCATGTCCTTTCACTTTTATTCACCTCTAGAGAAAATGCTTTTTAAGCACTTATCTTGCATAGCATATTTTACTTTGTAAATCACTGAGTCTTTGAACTGTGCTAGAGAAGAGATGGTCAGAACACAGTACTTAAAATCACAGAATTGTAAAATATCCTGAGTTGGAAGGGACCCGTAAGGGTCATCAAGTCAAAATCCCTGCTCCTTGCAGTATTACCTAAAACTGAACCATAAGAGTAACAGCATTGTCCAGATGGTCCCTGAAAGTGATGACATGATTTCTGTGTTCACTATAGCAAAGTTTGGTTTCTTAAAGAAACAATATTAGATAATCATATTTCATATAGAATTTTTGTGGTCTCCTCAATAACTTTTGAGTCCTAGGGTCAACATCGGTCACTCTGAAGAAAGGAATGTGAGTCTCAAAAATATAGAGCTCAACAAAAAATGAATGACAGTATTAGTATCCTTGCAAGAGCGCAGTTTCATCCTAGTCAGACGTCAGAGACTCCACATGGGGAGGCGTTGTTATGAATGCCTCGGGATTCATTTGTATGTCTGATTACTGAAGTCTTGTAATGTCAGAGTCTTTAGGCACCCTGATAGAAGCATTTTAGATAAGTCTGTTCATGCAGGGGTTGCCCTGAGACTGTGGGACTGTACATAACAATAGCAAGCTACCTTCCTGAACATACACAGCTGGTGAAGTTTCTGGTAAGGTCCAGGACTAGTTCAAATAGTAAGAACTATTTTGTATTGATTTCTGTTGGATTTTATATGCTGTTCAGGCTTAGCTTACTCACTTCTGGCTGTTGCTTTGAAGCTTTTTGATTTCTTCCCACTAAACAAGGGTAACTTTGTGCAATCTCAGATTTCACCCTGCTGATAGTCATTCTGCATTACATGTTCTCAATAAATGCTTCAAGCAGCTGATCTTTGCATGAGGTCTTCAGGTGCCTTGCAATCAACCTCTGATACAGCTTGCTTTCAGTTTGTCATTCTTTAGCTTGTGAGAGTGACACATTTTAATCAGATATAATCACTTGCATTAAGCTGGCTTTATGTTCGCAGAATTTCTGGACACATGACACTTAGGCTGGGTGCCTTGGTAATTTAATGCACTGCATATTTCACTGCATTTTCTCTTCGTGCTTTAACCATGGCATGGATTTCCTGTGAACAGGGGAGATTCTCTGGGCTGCAGTTACCCAAGCCGCATCCCATAGAGCTGCACGTGTCCCCGCTTGGGAACTGTCATGGTCAAAGCTCTGCTATGTTGTGATACAGTTTAGACATGCCCAAAATATTTTGCTTGTAATACATCATCTTAATAGAAAAGAGGAGGCATTTATTCAGCAATCTGTGTTGTAATGAAATAGTTTGATTTTTAGACATATTTTTATTTTATTTTATTGTTCTTTTCTGCGTTAGATTTCTCCCACGTACATCCTGCATATTTGTGTTTACAGATTCAGTTATTTCCCTTTCAACTTCCTTGTTACTACATCTTGGACTTCTAAGACTTTTCATTTAAGAGTGGACAAGGATAAATGAATTTCAGGTGTTTTTCAAAGGATATCACTAGAAGAGGATATTGATATTCTGAATGAAAGATCTTGCATTGTGCCACTTTTGCCATCTCATCTATTTGGTGGACTGGCACACAACACTTCCTTGTTCTTTCCATTTACAGTTAGGTATACCTCCAGGTTTTGTCAGTATTTGTAGGCTGAGTCAATTTTTATTTTTTTCCATTTTAATTTAGTATTCTTCCCTGATTACCTCCTTACCATTTAACAGTTTTTACTTTACATATTTCAGTGTTACTGAAGTGGCCTTTTGTCCCTCTTCAGGCTTAAAGATACTGAACTAAAACACATTGTCTCTGAGAACCTTAGGCAAAGAGTCAGTAAGTGATATTTTTAATCATCCTATGTGTTTTTTAACTGTGTCAAGAACAGTCAGTTCTTTGCTGAGCGTTGAACTAGCTTTTCCAAGAAGCAAGTATTGTAGGAACATACAAATGGGCAAGGACCACAGAGATTAGATCTTGCCTATTATTCAGTATGCTTCAGGAAAGAGGATACTGTGCTTGGTATACTAATTCTTTGTCACTATCCTTGTCATAATTTGTATGCTTGTGGTAAATTACCAAATTCTTCCTGAGTTTGTGCGCTGCAAATCTGGGGTTTGCATCTTTGTATATGACTGTACTGGATTATTCCAGTCAGCTTCAGATGCAGGCACTTGTGCTGAAACTGGTTATTATGTCTACGCAGTTAGCATAGAGAAAAATATTTCTGGAATCTGGAAAACTAACCATTTCCTGAAACTTAGAGCTCATTTTTTTTCAGCAGTTTGTAATGTATTTGTTTTAGGCTTGGTTCTCCTGAGATATATCTCTTTATAAAAAGAC